AAAACAATTTGTACATTTAACCCAATTTAATTCTGAATTCCCATTCTTTATCACAAATTATATAAATTTTCTGGGTAGTTCTTGTCTAGTTCTAAACTATGACAGCACTACACAAAATTGTCAATGAACAAGATCAGTCCTGGCTTGGTGAACCAAGAAAGTGATTATTGTTGCATTCACACTTTGCAAATCTGGGAGATAGATTTCCAGTAAATACACCATCAAATATTGAAATTGTGGATGGGTGATGAGAAATTACTGCAGAGTACAAAATAAGCTAGTTTTATAAATACTAGACACTCGCAGAGTTAGAAGGCTTGGTTTCAAAAGTTGGTCATATTCTAGGTATGTTTGTCTAAGGGTTAAGACCCTCCAGCACTCCCAAAATGAAATGAGTAGAAAGTGAGAGCAGGATATCATTAATCCTATTATATCAGCTAAAATAGTACAATTTTAACACATGTGTTTTTCACATATTCGTAAAGTGTGAATGCAATTTAAGTTTATAATGAAGTCAACAAAATCTTGGGGTATTTGCAGTTGGTTTTTTTTTTTCTATCCAATCCTGGACAAAAATAACCGAAAATGAAAAAAACAAAAACATCCAAGACAAGAAAATGGTTTGGTCAGAGTGTAAATATGTGCGTCAAATGAGGTCAATTTCAGGGCATGGACCTATGGTATGCCCAGAACCCAGAAAAGTAGTTTGCGCATGTGTATATTTCCCATTTTTACACCCACCCGACAACCAATTGCTATGCCATACTACTGTCCGATTATCAATTTGTATTTAATGGTGAATATAGTCTAACGCCATGATCAATATTTATCAATTAAGTTTCAGTAGGAATGAGAAGGGTTTCGGAAAAAACTAAAGCAATTAGGTTTTTTATCCTACATTGAACTTTTGTTGTTTTCCCTTAAACAGATAGGGTTTTTCATTAAAGAAGGAAACTGAAGTGTCCCTCTCACTGCAGTCTCGCTTCAACGAATATAGCCTGACCAGCTTCACTGCACTTCTCATCTCATCTCATGGTTGACTATTATCTATAAACAATAAATGAATTTACAGTGAAAACTACCATGATTTGTTATTGATGATACAATAATACAAATGTACTTTGATTCAAAATATTGTCTATTACTGGGTGTATTTACATATAGAAATAATGTAAATCTGTATAATCAACAATGCTATGAAACAAATTAGGTAATCATTTCTGATCTTACAACATTCAGAGCAATCTGAATGATTTTTCACTGTAACTGGCAGGTTAAAACTACCTCAACATTGCCAGTGGAAATCAAAGGGGATAAAACCATTACAGCATTTTACTGTAAGTGGCTCAAAATGTGCCACGTCTGTTGAAGTCTGGAAAGGACGTCATGCCCCGAGTGTTTGTGGAAAGAGGCCTGGCCAGTAACAAGACTGCAGCTCTGCCAGTAACAAGACTGCAGCTCTGCCAGTAACAAGACTGCAGCTCTGCCATGCCATGTACATGTATAGTACTGTAAAATCTGTATTAGAAGTCGTACCCATTCTTTTTGAACAATTGAGACCCAAAAATTCACCATTTCTCATATGTGTAGATGCTCTAATAGAATCCATATCCCCTCAGTTGCACTGTACCAATTTGATGGAAGCCGTGGCTTCTTGTACAGATTTTACTGTAGTTGTACTGTTGGTTTATTTTGCTTGATAGGTTTTGTGAGTTATGATAACCCAGTATCAGCCCAAGCTGCTATTCAAGCTATGAATGGATTTCAGATCGGTATGAAACGATTGAAAGTTCAACTGAAGAAGTCCAAAGATAAACCATACTAATCATGTTACAATCTGCCATTGTTGACAAATAACGGTAAGTTCATATGTCTTTGTGTATGTCTGTCATACATGTCTTCTTTAACTATGACACTGAAGACTTCAGATATTTTTTTTTAAATTGAGAGTATCAAGCCCTTGAAATCTAAATTGTAATTAACATTCCCTGGAATCTGAATAATGATTGAAATGCCCTGAAATCTGAATAATTATTGAAATGCCCTGAAATCTGAATAATTATTGAAATGCCCTGAAATCTGAATAATTATTGAAATGTCCTAGAATTTGAATAATGATTGAAATGCTCTGGAAACTGAACAATTATTGAAATGCCCTGAAATCTGAATCATGATTGAAATGCTCTGGAAACTGAATAATGATTGAAATGCCCTGGGAACTGAATAAGTATTGGCATACGTCACATTTAGATAAGAGCTGAATAAAAGACAAACTTAAACAGTATTTAGACAGCCAGTGTGTTTTTTCAAATGTTCTGTACACTTTACTGTGTTTGGCTCAGTGTATGTGTCATACTTTAGAAGGTATGTTATATGTATGATGTGGTCACTGGTGATGTAGTATTGTTATGATGATGACTGCAAGCTGTACTTGTGTTGTAGTGTATATTTCATCATTACCCGGCTTGCCTTGACTTGTGAATACTGCATTGTAATGTGTTTGTCAAATGTGTATATCTAGAACCCCATTCACAAACCAAGCTTCTTTGTAAAGTTGTTTATCCTTAATACCCTAAATATATGCAAGGCTAAATATTCAAAATTTTGCACACGGCTACATATCAGGAATCATGATATATTTAAAAAATTTGATCATATCACTCCTGTTCTTCTTAAATTACATTGGCTGCCAGTTCACTATAGGATACACTTCAAAATTTTACTGCTCACGTACAAGTCACTACATGGATTGACACCATCCTACATATCGGACCTTATTGAAAAAAATCAAAACCAGAGAACCCTTCGCTCAAGTGAGAAACATACACTTGCCATACCTAGAACTCATCTCAAGAATTATGGTGACCGGTCATTCGCCCATTCTTCACCGTCTTTATGGAATCAATTACCAAATGACATCTGTTCTGCACCGAATGTTAACATCTTCAAAACCAAACTCAAATCTTACCTGTTTAAGCAAGCCTATCTGTGAAACTAAGCGTCATTGAGCATCACTGCGATGGATACTAGGCGCTATATAAACTTGTATTTGTTATTATATTAATGGGAGATAGAGCAAGTTATTAAAGTCTGAAAATTATAGCAAGTTATTAAAGTTGGCATGTACATTTGATAACATTGCCTATTAGCACAAACCATGTGAAGAGTGAAGAAGTTGAGCATTGTGTTAGTTTAGCTATAGTTTTAAATAAAGTGTCACTATGGCGTCATGACTAAAGTATTAATAAAATATAAAAAAACAATTCAGTTTTGTTTTTGTCTGCGTAAGCAATTTTTAGTCATGCCAGTGTACAACTATTCAAAATATATTTGTTAAAAAAAATTGAAGAAACTTTTGGGTGGGGGTGGGAGTGTATTTTAAATTTCACTCATTACTTTATATTGCAATACTACAACACAAATCATCTCATTTTTAAAATACTGGTTAATCATAATTTTAGGGCCATGCAAGATGCTTCAACGTTGATATCTTTTGGTAGGGTAGTTGTCCCACACAAAAATTTCACTCCTGAAAATGGAAAATTTTGAGTTTGGAATTTACATATTACCGGTACCTTATGCACATTACTTAATATATTTGATATGGTTCGATTGTCAATATTCCTGAAGATGGTGAAGACATCACAACTCAAAAATTAGATTGTGTAATATTAGTACTGCATTTTTCTATATACATGCGCACTCTCATCTGAATTTCTGTGCCCCTTGAATTATAACAGTAAAGAAGCTTGGTCTGTTGTAAATTACTGTGGTTTCTTTGAATCAAGTCACTGTGCTGTGTTTTTATTTTCACTCTGTTTATCGTCAAATGGCATTCTTTCTAATTTGCTTCAAAAACTCTTTGTCTGTTTTTATTTAATTTCATTGCAGTGTGTGTTGACCTAAGATCCCTTCTTTTTTTGTCATTTTTAGATGAACCTGTACCTTGTACTCCTGTTTACTGTGACGTCTGCATTTGTTTGTGACACGTTGCCATGGCATCACCATCGTGACGTCACATCACATGTCGTGTCCGTCCTGCCCTGTTCGCTACGTCACATGTTTACAAAAAAAAAAATTATAATCACATTGCATCGCAAAGTTATACATGTAATACAGCGTTAATGGTAGAGCCTCATCGTTCATTGTCAACAGTTCAAATACCTCCACGTTCTGGTTTTTGAAATGGAGTGCCATTTGCATGAATTGTTCTCAGAAAATTTACAGTGAAATAGAGAAAAAAAAAATAGAGACCAGAAAAATGTACGGAAGCCTAGTATTGTGTTATGTTCTGAACAGCAAGTATGTTTCAAGTTTTACTTACAAACTAAATGTTGTTACTAGTTTTTTTTCCTTGAAGCAGGGTTGTCACAAGTTTTGTCAGTGTTCACTTGAAATGCAATGTTGTGTGTTCAATCTGAAAAAAAAAAATCGAACAAGTTCATTTTTCCTAATTCAGTATGTATGTTCTATTGTGTTTTATTTGTGTTAATCACCGACAACTGGGGTGCCTGTTGTCTCACTTTTAAAATTTGAAAACTATTTTTATAGAGACTTACAAATCTGAAAACCGTATTTTTCTTGTGGAAGAAATATTTTTGAAGTGAATGAGATCGGACTTTGCATCTGTACTTGTGACGTATAAAAGATTTTAGATTTTATTTGCTTATTTGGATGTTTCTCATTACTGCCTAATCTGTTGCAATCTAAATATTTGATTGAGGTTTACAAAAAAAAAATGAAAAAAAAAACAGATTTTAAGTGCATTGTATATTTATTCTAATTTATTTGCCTGAAGACTACAAAATTCATGCAAATGATCCTCCATGTTATGAAACAGCATTCAGATTTTTTTTCTAAATTTGCCAAGAGTTTGGTGTGGTGTTATAAAGTTGTAGTAGTGATAATGTTCTGAATATTTGTTTTTCATCTCCCTAATCATGGAATGTTGAGTAAAATTCTTTCCAAGTGTTGATGTTTCACACTGCATGTTTAATTAGTTTTTAATGTTTTATTGAGATGTTACAAATACTGCCCTCACATGGTGATTGAGAGTAATATTTTTGCTGTCATGTGATTTATTAGTATTACGAAATACTGCCCTCACAGGGTGATGGACAATTTCATTTGTTTTCATCTATGAAAGCACAGCAGAGTATGTAGCCTTAAAAAGGGGTTCACCAGTTTGTCTGTGTTCTTTTATTTTACTGTTCAAGAAAAAAAAAGTTGATATTTTTATGGGACTGTTGCAGTTATTTCCTCTCGTTTCTTAACTTTTGTGTTGCTTGAAACCTAGGAAACAATGTGGAAAACACCGATGTGTACTTAGAGTTGTTTCCAAATATTCATTCTTATATGTTTGTGTGATGTTGTGTCGAACAAGACACCAGAGATTTAGATATATATACAAGTTTCAAACTTTGTCAGAATTTCATAAAATTTAGTATTTTGGCTTTTTTAGTCAGTGGAACAGGGTCAGGGTCAGCTGATGTGATATCCTAAATTACAAGTTTTGAATTAAAACTAGTACAAAAATTGATGCATCAAATTACGTACGACTGTGTTGAAAATATCTACTGTAAAGTAACACATGTTTAAATTATCGATCTGCTCAGTTTAGGGATTTATGCAGAATTCTCATGCATGCATTCAATTTGGTCTGTTGTATTTTTGAATACTCTAACACAATCAGACTTTTCCAAGAAATCGTATCAATCAGCTCCCCAGAATTGAGGACCCTTTAGTACTTATTTTGCGTAGTTAAACACTTTAAAAATGTTACACACAACTATGTTTTGAAAAGCTGTGGCTTTTACTCTCCTCACAAACCCAGTGATTGATGTTATGTTTAACAGACTTGAAATCTCTGGTGTTTAGATTACTATAGGTGTGGTGTTGGTTTTTGTTTTTTGTCATTCAGTGTTTGAAGATATTATACTTAGAAGTTTAAAAAAACACTTAATGTTATAGCCACATAAATTGCAAGACTTAGATTGGTCATCGAATGTAATCACTTAGATAAATGTTTTCCTCATAGTTATGTATGCGTTATTAACAATGTTTGATTTTCTTGCTTACTTTAATAATATTTTGTTTTAAAAATAACTGATAAGTTGCACAACTAGTCAAGTTGTAAGTTACACATATATTAATGCATGAGAATAATGTATTCAAAACAAATGCAGATTTTTTTTTTTGTTTTAGTTTCTGTTTGCCATTGTATTACTTTTTTTCCAGCCTGAAACTGCTGAGATCTACCCTGTGCATGTTAATGAGCAGGGTCAAATGTCGAAGGTTACTGGGTGAAAGTTCATGTTAAATGTGGCCATTTTTGTTTGTATTTGTTTGTTGCAAATATTAAATCTATCTTGTCTGCAGTTACATACCCTGTGTTTGTCTTGTTCTGTTCAAGTATGTTTGTTAACTGTATGTATTATTTGTGTATGTGTGCGTGTGAATGTGACTACATTTATATATATATATATATATACACACACACACACACACACTATGTATTCCGCATGAAAAACTTAAAAAGCAGCCCCTTTGGTTATTTCATTTTGACAGTTTCACTTCGCCCAACCTGTCAAAAATATTTGCGCATATATTTAATTCATGTCCATTTTTATCGCATTCGCATCCTGCATTTATAATATTTGTGTTGCCAATTTATTTCGCTCGCATCACATTGTCCTCGCATCGCACTGGGTAACAGGTGTCCTGGCTCAGCCATAGTGGTATCTTTTCTGAATTTCATTACCGAAATGATCTTGCAGACAGAAATGAAGAAGTTAAGCGTTGATGTCTGTGTTTTTGCACAGTAAATTGTTGTTGCAGTAGCTAAAATGTGACATGCAAATACGTGATGCAAGCATGATGAAAAGTAACTACCATATTTGCTGTATTATCGGCAGTAGCAAATGCATTATGTAAATTACAGCGGTGTTTCAGTGATAAAAATAAATAATATTTTAATGATACAACAAACTCTGTAGGTAGGTATGTAGAGCTAATAGGGTAAATGCACCACCTTGATGTGATCAATGGGCAATGCAAAATGCGATGAATATGGCATCAAAACACAAAGTGAAAACAATAACAGGTTGTAATATAGTTCATATACCTGAAATACACTACCACTTCCATGTACAACTGCGCCTTGCTATTTTATCATTAACATGTGTGTGTGTATATATGTATAAATTATATATATGAATTGTAGGTGTATATGTGCGCGATATACACTGTATGTGTGTATGTATAATGTTAAGTCTACCTTTAGTACATGTTAGTGTATCATCATCGGCTAACAGGGTTTCCACATTTACAGCTGACCTCAAACAGCCTCCCCAAACTCTATCTATCCCATATCACTAAAGTCTCTAAACATTATTCTTCTGTAGCAATCTGAATAATCATTATTTATTTTTTTGGATTATTTTATTCAATTTGTTACTTGTTCATATGGAAACCTATGATTATTATTTATTGGCATGTTATTTAAAGTTCCTATTTTTAAAGTCAAATTGTTTTATTTTGATGATACTTATTTTAAATTTTATCATGATTTAAAAGCATCAGCACAGTTATTTATTAATTTTGGTGTATGTTGTCACTTGATAAATTTGAAATAATTTGACAAAAGATCAGTAGTACTGAATTTAGAGTGTATACTGTCCAGATACAAGTGCGGATGATAATAATATTAAGTAAATTATTGCTTTTGGCATCAACTATTTATTGGAATGCTCTGAATTGTAAATCAGGTGTTCAGTGTGATTTGATTAGGCCTAAATTATCCATCTTGACATCTAAAGCTAATACTCGTGACCATGGGATGTGACATTGGCATTTAATACAATTGAAAAATGAGACATGCTATACGAAAAAAGTAAACTGCCATGAGGAAGGAGTTGTTTTCTGTCTATCTTAAACTCATTGACATTAACTTAGTACTTAAACTCGACTTAACTGTACTTAAAGTCTATCTAAATAGTTGCATTTCATTCCTCAATCATCCGCTGAATGTTGCGTTCTACCAACCTTACTGTGTTATCATTCACCCTCTATCCAATACTATTTCTGTATGTCCTCCCACCCCACCCCCTTTCTCGGAAAGTATTAACACGTCTTCTAATGCAGCCACTCACAAAGTATACACCATCAAGGTAGCTACAATGATTTCAGATTGCCTATGGATGTGGTTAACGGTAATTTGTATAAATATTTATTAATGTAGATTCAAATGAAAGTGATTCACCTTTGGGATGATTTTTTTGTACCACCCTGACTACGCCTTTGTAATTTTAAAATTAGTGAAATTCAGTTCAGTATGACTGTTTTCAACTGCCATTTTTATTTGCACATCTATGGGTCACCTATAACCATTGTATTCTTGCATTAATTATATTGATCAATTTAAATCATATCAACTGTGCTACACAGTAAAAATGTACATTTTGAAACGGTACAGGTTATTGAGATGCATTGTTTCATTGTGTGAATATTAAAGATATGGTTAATAAGGTTAACCTGAAAATAAAGAGGTGTGTATTGGACATTTTTTTTACCCCCTGTGACCTTGACAAGGTACTTACTAAACAGATTGAACCAAATTACGGATATACAGTGAATGTTTGGAATGAATTGTTTGATGGTGGTGCATGTGCAGTTTGAAAGTCAATTGAATTGAAGAAAATATTTGCTTCTCTGGATATAAAATTCTTTATATTTTGTTTATGACATCACACCAATTAATACCACTACTTGTTTGGGTTAGATATTTGTCAAAGTTGTATTTTGTTTTCATCTCTCAATAATAATACCACAGTATTTTGTACTGTGCTTAAAATACTGACAGTTCATCAAGTAAATCTCTATAATTTTAGTGTGATGTAAAGTTTGTCAAACAGAAAGCTAAAGATAGTCGTAGTCGCGTACGTGTCAAGTCTTGCTATACCACATACTTGGCACAGATTTACGATCTGTCGGGTAATTTATCGGTTACCTGATTTTGACAAACTAATAAATGATGGAACACTGAAATATTTAATAAAATTTATTCAAGAAATAACTATGTTGGTTTATTTTCTCCCTAAAGAATAATTTTTGAACACAGATGTGCATCAATACTTTCAGGAAGGGTAAGTGAAAAAAAGTGTCCCGAAGTGTACATGCCCATGTTAATCCCTCTGTTTATCCCAGTCTTTGGAATATCATGTTCACCTTGTATCATTCTATAAAGCATGTTTCTTTTAAGTGTATTATATTTAAAAATATACTACCATATTTAGAAGCGTAAATAAGCTCAAAATCGCATTTACGGTATTGTGTGTAGGATTATTAAAATAACTTATTT